AGGCACCCAACTCTCGACTCCTGGATAGGGCTGTGGCTGTGTTGGCTGTGAGGGTCTTTCGCTTGCCCTTACTAGGGTGCTATGAAAAGTTTGAAGAGCTCTTGCCAGCTCTCCTGAAGCTCTGCGCGGAGGCATAACTTTACATTTTGGCTCCCTGGGTGGCATGGAGAAGTCCTGGTGACACAGATACATTTTCAGTGATGGAGAAACCATCTCTGTGTTGATATGGGTATGTCCTGGCCTATGCTTTACACTTAGACGTATGTGGCAGCAGCAGCACAGTGGGGAAATCTCATAGGAAAACCCCACAAAGCAGCTGCCTAAGAGAAGTTGTCACAAGTACTTCAGCTCCAGGTTGCAGATGATTTTGTCATTCCTTTGGAATTCAAATGATTTTCTTTTAGCAGTTTAAAGTCCAGGAAAGATTTAGTGTAGGCTTATATTTCAGAAGAGAAGTGGGGAAAAAAATGCAAGAAAGAGAGGGAAGCATTAGAGATGTGTGCATATATTAAATATATGTCTATGTATATCCTTAACAGCCCATCTCACCCATTACATTAGCATCTCATCCAAAAAAGGTTGAGAGAGGAGGCTGCTGGTAGTAAAAAGTGCTTAAAAAAAAAACTTTAATTACAGGCTATTCTCTTACAATTTTCCATTGATAACTTGGCAATTATTTCAAGACACATATTTCTCCCATTTAAGTACATGCTATGTGTGAGTGATGCTATTTGTAAAAGCAATAAATCCGGTCGTAGCAATAAAATGTAATTAGAGTATTCTTCTGTGACAGAATTGATTCGGGGTAGGTACGTTAAACTCATTTGTAATAAATAGGCACAGAAGTTGTACAGCTACAGCGTTGACATGATAAAGTTTGCAAATGCAGGTATATTTCTCCTCCCTCACGGGGGATTAACTTTTTCAATCTTATTATGAAAAGTTCAGGAATCACTGAATAACATGCAAAACTGAAGGGAATAGAAACGGTTTTCTAGGCGGAAGGAAGGGAAACAAGTGTTTGTCGCCTGCCTGTCATCATCCATTAATAGCAAATTGTCAGCAAAAAGGGGAGATGCATCCTTTTTCATTTATCTTTATACAGAAGCATAATTTAGTGACTCGTACCCATGACCATGCTCATGTTCCCTGTTGTTCCATATTCTTCTTTGGAAACTTTCTCTTAAAACCTAGTGCTGATTAGTGCCCGGTAGAAAAAACTCTCTCTCTGAAAAGAGCAGCTAGCAATCTTCTTGCCAGTTGTGTTTTGAAAAGGGCCCTTTTCATGGCCAGTGTTATTTGGAAATACAGAAACAGTAAGGAGACTTTGCTGACACTGCGGTCTTCATTATACTCTGAGCTGCTCCTCATCTATTTGCTGATCCCAGACAATCCCCTTGTGTAGCTGGGTGATAGTGTTTGCATCTTATCTGAAGTTGATAAATATCTGGGTGCCCCTGCAGAATGCTGGCATTTAGTTCATGCTGCTTCCCACTTTTCCCCACGTAGATGAGGAATAGAAGCATTTTTTTTTCAAAAAAGTATCTGTGAACACATTTTCTAGCTGCTACAGCCTACAGAAGTTACAGGCCCCCTGGCTGCTGCACCATTTACTTTTAACTGGGATAGCATGGATGTGTGAGAGAGGTATTTATAAAAGGTTCAGAGCAACTAAAGGAGCTATTGAAACCATTTTGTTATTACCAGTATTTAAGAGAAACGCAAACAATGAAATCAGTCTTGACATTTAAAGTAACTGGGATTTGACCCATTGATTCTACCGGAAGCAAGTTCTGACCTGATGCTTTCTTATTGCCAGGGATACCAGGTACTACTGATGCCACCGAAAGCCTAAGCTTTAACGGCATGAAAGTAGACATGGGCCAAATCATGAAAATCTTTCCTCATACAAGTAGCCTCTTGGACTATTGACACACACAATGACAAGTAATGAAAGTGAGGCTTTGTAGCCTGCTTTATATGCCTGGGAAAATCATCATCATCATCATCATAATACAAACCCTTAAAACCCCTGCAACTTGAAACCCAGCGTACTGAGAGTCCTTTTTTTAGTTTGAAAACTCATCCTTGTGGAAAGCACTAAATCTCCTCGCATGCAATTAATAGTTCCAAAAGATGGAGAAAACTGAACCCGAGTGAAAAGGTCATTTTAAACGGGTGTTTTGAAATGACTGGACATGTTATGCAGTGCAAGTACTGATGTAGTTTAAATAATTGAGAGTGGTATTTTGAACTATTTTCTGAACCAGACAAATAACCTGCCACTTCATGAATGGAAACCAGTGATGGCCATAAATAATGCACAGGTGGCAGGTTGGTATGATAGTCATTTTTAAGCCTATCTGATATTTCTTCCCATACAATACAATACGTCCAATGGCTTCATGTGGGCCCCCTGCTGGATACCTTATTCTTCTGCTGTGACTCTTGTGTTCAGATGAGCAAATACTCTGGTGCATTAGCTTTCATTTCTTTATCCTATATAGGGAATAGGATAGGGCTAAAGTATGTATTTACAAATTGGGTCAGTCCTTCCTTTGCTCTTTTGCGGAACAGTTTGTGCCCAGGGATAGGCACATGCATTTGTTTGTTTTAATAATAACTTCAGGATGTAAAGAGCTGCTTTGTGCTAACGCTCAGAGCATAATTGCTGCCTACAAACTAAGGCAAAGTTATGCTGATTAGCGCAAAAGCTACGCTCAGCATCGCCTGTAAATCAATGGAGGAAGTCATGGGCATGGCAAACAGCTAACTCAGCACAGTGACACAGATGGATTGAGAGACCAACATCGGCAGGGGCAGCAGAGTGGAAGGCATTAAAAATAAGGTCCTTTCTCCTTTTTGTTTTTGCATGCTATGGCCAAGGGAGGTCAGGAAGCTAATCAAGACTCAGCATGAAGCTGGAGGGTGACACAAGGGAAAGGGCATTGCAAGAGTCGGGGGTTATCAAGGGAAGAGTGAGGAAGTTTGAAGCCTGGGCCACATCTGGGATATGGGGATACTGCAGCACACTTGGATTAAAAATGTGTGAAGAGGCTTTTTAGAGTGACTGTATACATTTCAGCATCAGTTTCCTATACAGCAGTACTATATTACAAACAGCAGCATACAACAAATCCTATTTATTCAGATGCAGAAGGGAAAGAATCCTGGTTAAATCACCTTCTGCATTTTGCAGGTATGTTAGGCATTCAGATATCATGGTAATTGGCTCTAGAATACATTACTAGTGAGAGTAAGGTAGAAAGATATGCAAGCAATATGCACATTAGGAAAACGTAGATGTGTTTTCCCATTTCACTTCCAATATGATTGAAAAGTTTATTTCCAACAACTCATTGTCTGATAGAAAATAAATAGGTTAGGACAAAATAATAATGCAGTGGGCTAAGAAAATCCCTGATATTACTTTATTGGTTAAAGTGCTCAAAATAGAGGAGCAGGAGCTGAAGTATAGTAATTAATACGAGAATAGTAAATATTCTGATGGGTGAAATGAGTACTATCAGCTATCATGTACTGCAGTATGACAGGTTTGATTTATATCACATATCGGCTCTCTGAAGTATTTACTCTTATTGCTATTCATGGAATTATTATCCCCCTCTTAGTCAATTAGAGAACATTGAAAAATGTAGACACGTGCAACAGGAATCAAATGTTAGGGTGAGCAAGCAGAAATGACTGAGAGAAAAATCAGTACTGGCATCAATGCAGTGCAATTACAACAAGGCTGCAAATCTTAGATGCAACTAAAAGCCTTTAGTGGGGGTTTCTGATCTATTTGAAGGAGCTGGCAGTCTTCACAAACCATGCAGGTACTGGGAACCAGCACAGGTGCTACAGCTAAGAAAGAGCAGCTTAGCTAATCACCTCCAGGAACTGCCACTTAGCAGATTTGAGAAAGTATATTCAGCAGTCTACATCATGGCTGTCTAGTCCAGGACAGAATTTATGTTCCCCTACTCAGTGACATGACACCGCAGGCTGTGATGCTTATTCTGGGTGTTAGAAAGCTATTGGTCTTAATCTGTGTCCGGCAGCCTAAATAAATATGTGTCTGATTTCTTCCAGGGGAGCTCTCCCTCATCTATATTCTACTGCAATATGGCAGAAGCTTCCACTTCCTGCAGTCCATGGACATTACTGCATTGTTTGGGGTACTACTGAGATAATGAATACCCTCAGAAATAGCTCCTAGAAATAGAAAACCCATTACTAATACTAAACAGTCTAGTATAGTTTAGTTCTAAAAGAAAATGAATTGCATAAAGCACTGAACTGGCATAATAAATAGACTTGATAGCCCTAAACAAGTTCAGCACCTATCACTGTATTACAGCATAAGTGGTCTTAAGTAAGACAGAGAAAAACCTATTGCAACAGAAGTCAGTGCTTTTATAACCTGAAGGTGGCCACCCCCTGTAGTGACAGGTAGGGAGACCTACTCTATAGTGTTAACCCCTTCGTTGCCTTTCAGCACACCTTTTTTCTATCAAGATCATTGGACCCATAAACAAGCATGTGGTGAGATTTAAGCTCGATTGCACATCATCCCTTCCTTCATTTTCACCTTTTTGCCAGTCATGTGATGACTGGCAAAGTATGGTGCTGAGGGAATAAGGGCCAGGAGAACCCACCTTAGGAAATTCCAAATGCATTTAAACTGTGAATTAGATGATCCTACCTACTTCAGGGCTGAAAAAAAAAGAAGACATCTTATGAAAGGAAAACAGTTGTAGTATTTCTGTGATGGGCTTGCCTTTTTTATACTTTTATTTTTACTCTCTTCTTTCCC